AGTTTCTTCCGACACATCGTGTGTGTGTGCTTTCCCCGCCGGAAGCTCACCGTAGTCACGTGACTTACCAGGGTAACTTAGATTGACTATAAATTCCGTCTGCTTACAAAGAATGGGGTTGTTGACAAAAGAGAAGTAGACGAAGGAATTGCTCATTAAAACCACAAACAGGAAACAAATCAAAGGAAAGGCAAAAATTTGTGTTCCTGATTCATCTACATTATTTAATGCATGTACTCTGCTTTATATTCTGTCCGCTGTTTTATTATTACTGCAATGTTTCATTCAAGTGAATTATTCATTACTGTACTGTTTGATTACTGATTACCCGTATTTTGTTCGTATGCCTGTACTTATAAATTCTTTCATTACCCACACTTAATTTCCTTACCCGTTTTTTTCCCTTGTATATCTATCTCGACATGACATTTGGAATGCTGCTGTTTGCATTCGCCCCCCCCCCCCCCCCCCCTCCCCCACCCCTGTGTATGGTTAAGTACTTATGTATAACTCTTTCAGTCCCATGCAACCTATGATGCACATTTGTTTCTACACGAATCTCAGCCATCGTGCTATGTGTCTATCCCCCCCTTTCCCCCTCCCCCTCCCACACACACACTCCTAGTTTACTGTTGATCACAGTACAATAAAGAAATCTGCTTCTGTCTTGGCTACTTCCGGAGCCTAATTTGCCTGTTTGAATGTTATGCCTTGGTGTCTTTTTACAGTAGTCACAGATTCCCTTCGGTATTTGCAGCGAGAACTCTCTAGAATTGAAAGAGTCAAGTCTATTTTTTTATTTTTCCTACAGAAGCATGGTGTGAACATTCATATAGTTGGTATTTTTGAGTCTCACTGCCACATTCAGTCGTCCTCTTTCGTTGCAGCTGGGAAACCACGACAGACGTCGTGTGAGCCACAAGTTTGGACCCCAGTACGTAGATGTCTACAACATGCTGCTGCTGACGCTATTTGGAACGCCCACCACCTACTATGGGGAGGAGATAGGGATGCTCGAGGGGATCATTACCTGGAATAACACAGTGGATCCCTGGGGTATCAACTATGGAGAAGTAGGTCAATGCCACAGTATTAAACAGTTTGATTTTTTTTTCTTCTTGACCACATCTATGCAGATGTCACACACTGTGGGGAGGGGGTTGGTGGTGCAGTGGATGGACTAGGAGCTCGCCTGAATGCTTGACGGGTTTGGCTTCCAATCCACACTGAAGCAAATGTTAAACTCTTTGAGTAGCAAGCAATGCGCCATGTCTAAATGGACATCTTATTATGTTTCTTTTTCTCACCTTTAGTCAGCGCAACCCATTTGTCTCCTATTGTGTTGTACATTTAGTTCCTGCGGATGTATAATACCCATAATTGATCTTCTAGGATTGAAAGAGTTTAAGACCCAACGATCCCTCCCAGGTTTACCTAACCTAAAATGGATACAAAACGAAGTCCTAGGAAGTAAAGGCGGCCGGCGTGATATTGACCATGCTCCATACCAGTGCCGTCTGCTTTATAAACATAGATCTCAACCAACACCATATGTCTGATAGGAGCCGCCGGGGTGAAGTGGCTAGAAGCTCGCCTGCGGATCCGAAGCTCCTGGGTTCGAGTCGTGATGAAGCCTGACTTTTGTCAGAAATTACCAAGGCGCCACAAGTGACCCAGCCGTAAATAGGTACGAGGTCAAGTCGCGAGAAGTGAAAGGCGGTCGGCGGGATGTTGACTTAAACGCACACCAAGTACACGAACGGGGTTTGAAATATAGGTCTAGCCCTATATACCCCATACGCCTGAAGGCGTTGAAAGTGTCATTTACTTACAATAAATCTAGTGCATCAAACGCATGAAAGGGTTATTGACTTGACTTTAACAACATTATTCTGGGTCCCTGTTGCACAACAGCAGGCTCGCCCCCCTCCCCCCCTTTCCGATACCCCAACCCCGTGCACATCTGCCCGAATCCGCACCTAGCTGACTGTTCAAACTAGATTTGGGCTCCTAGACCAGCTCAACTTAACATAAACACAAGACATTGTTGTGGGAAATAAACGTGGCCGGTATGATAGTCACAGTATTAATCATTAAACATCCTAAGTCCACAAGTCTGTGAAGTTCGTCCATCTTTCCTGTCAGACCTAATGGCATGGTAACAAGTTTAATTCCAAGCCCTTGTGGTTCGCTGATGCAGACACGACCCACCTCCATTCATCTAATAAACATAAATAAACAGATAGGAAACCATAGAAGCCGTAGAATTATTATAAATATAAAAACAAGTATTGATCGGCACTCACAGAATGAAGCAGAAAGATATGATACAATAAACAATATGCAAATCAAAAGCTGTAGTATCCATGCTGGAAATAGAATATGTCATCTTCAACTGACTACAGCGCCACGCTGCAGAAACAAGTTTGCTAAAGCGAATGATCTATTAGACACCAACCGCACTCCCATCTCCCCTTTCACCAAGGTGTGTTCATTAGTCATGTCTATCGTACAGGTCAAATTCACAGCCATGGAATGTGGAGTAAATTGGCATGAAACCATTCAAATGGCACCATGGTTTACTGAACACTAACCAATCATAGGCCTAAGAGGAAACACAACACAATGTTTGTAACTGGCCTTCTCTTTCAAGCTGTTGGCTGTACTGAATTAATGCCTGAATGTTTCTTAATATACCCCTCTGCACACTTTCTGTTTTGCACACGCAGCTGATTTCATTTATGTTTGAATAGGGACAGAAGAGCTCTGCGATACAGTTCCTGCGGAGGTGGTATTTTTTTTCTGTTCCCCTCAATGCATGCAAACAGATCAACAAAGTGTTCACAGTCAATGCCAAACAAAGCCACCCAAGATAAAGATAAATCGAAGCTACCCATACTGGAATACCGTCGGCTGCCTCATTAGAACTGTGTTAAACAGTTAACGGGGTCTCTCCAATGTGTACCTGCGTGATTCTCTTCTTTGAGATGCTAATCCTAGAAAAAGAAGAAGAAGAAGCTGTCAAAGCCTCAAGGAATTGACTAAACTGGCATGCAGACCAGCGTAACACTAGTGCATAAACCTCAGCTGCCCGAACCTCGTGGCAAGGTCTGAACCGGCACACAGACCAAAACAGTTTTACTGCCGGTTTCACAGTAGATAATCAAGGCATGGTGCAATATAAAGTAAATTGTTAAACAGTTTTTTTTTCCTCGCGTGTTCTATCATAATTTCAATTATCTAATATACCGGATACGTGACTTATCTTCACTGTAGAATGTATATCGTATATACGCTTACTTCTCTTTCCCGGGGCTTTAACGAGATATCTATATTTTCTCTCCATAGAAAGATTTCCTAGCGTTTACCAGAGACCCAGAAAGGACTCCCATGCAATGGACTGGAGGCTATCAAGCTGGGTTTACCACAGGGGGCGCCACCTGGTTGCCTCTGGGAGAGAACTATACCACTGTTAATGTTGAGGTATGTCTGTCTGACAAACGGGGTATGTGCGTCTTGTGGTTGGAGTATGTCTGTCTCGGGTGGGGTATGTGTGTCTCAGGTGGGGTATGTGTGTCTCAGGTTGAGTATGTGTCTCAGGTGGGGTATCTGTGTCTCATGTGGGGTATCTGTGTCTCACGTGGGGTATCTGTGTCTCAGGTGGGGTATCTGTGTCTCTGGTGGGGTATCTGTGTCTCATGTAAGGTATCAGTGTCTCGGGTGGGGTATCTGTGTCTCAGGTGGGGTATGTGTGTCTCGGGTGGGGTATGTGTGATCCATGGCTGAGGTATGTATGTCTCGGCTGAGATATTTGTGTCTCGGGTGGGGTATGTGTTCCAAGGCTGAGGTATCTGTGTCTCGGGTGGGGTATGTGTGTTCCATGGCTGGGGTATGTGTGTGTTCCATGGCTGGGGTATGTGTGTCTCAGGTGGGGTATGTGTGTCTCGGATGGGGTATGTGTGTTCCATGGCTAAGGTATCTGTGTCTCGGTGGGGTATGTGTGTTCTATGGCTGATGTATGTAAGCTTCATCCTGAGACATGTGTTTCATGGCTGGGGAATATGTGTCTCATGCAGGGTAAATGTGTATCATGCTGGGATATGTGTATCCTAGCTATGTTATGTGTCTTGTTGCTGGTGTATGTTTGTCTCGTTGCTGTGGTATGTCTCTTGTTGCTGGTGTATGTTTGTCTCGTTGCTGTGGTATGTATCTTGTTGTTGGTGTATGTGTGTCTCGTTGCTGTGGTATATGTCTTGTTGCTGGTGTAAGTGTGTCTCGTTGCTTGGGTATGTCTTGTTGCTGGTGTCTGTGTGTTTTGTTGCTGCGGTATGTATGTTGCTAGGGCATGTGTTTCTTGTTGCGTGGGTATGTGTGTCTTGTTTCTGGCTTATTTATTTTGTTTTGTTGTTGGGGTATGTGTATCTGGTTGTTGGGAAATGTTTGTCTCGTTGCTGGAGTATGTGTGTCTGATTACTAGGGTATGTGTTTCTCTTTGCTAGGGCATGTGTGCTTTGTAGCGGGGAATATGTGTCTCGTTGCGGTTTACTGTGTCTCACGTCGCTGGGGCATGTGTTTCGTTGCTAGGATATGTGTGTCTCGTTGCTGAGGCATATGTGCCTTGTTGGTGGGTATGGGGTATGCGTATCTGAAGGTTGGGATACAGATGCGAAATTTTGTTTTCTAGGGCTTTCGAGTTAAAGTATAACTGTTTAAAAGTTCGAGTATGTGCCTTTGAGGATTGGGGTATACCGGGGCTTATTTATGTAAAACTGATGGTTGTGGTATGTGTGCATGAAGTTCATCGTATTTATATATGAGGTGTAGGGTGTCTGTGCCATGTGTCAACGTATTCGTGAAGTGAGGTTTGTCTGCCTCCCAGCTGAGGTACATATGTTAGGGTATTATGTTAAGGTGTCTATGCTGAATTATGAATGTTGAGGTATGCAGTAAGACTTTTATAATAAGTGTACAGCACATGTGAAGAAGAGGCCAGATAGGCTAAGAAAGTCCTTGATCCAAAGTCTGGCTTCTGACCAGGTCTCGCATGTGAGAACATCCTTCAGCATATCCGATCACCTTAATATAAATGACCCAATCAAACAGTCAATAGTAACTTGGTCATAACCGGTGTCATAGGACTCTATAAATAGTTACTTTGATGTTAGAGCTAACTAAGATTTGACGGAAATTATTATCCAACACCCAGTCACAGTGGTAAGGACGTGCCCATAAGTGCTCTGTCTTGTTGAAATGTGTCATTCAGATTTATTCACTGTACTGCCAATTGAGGTCAACAACAGTCCTCTTCCTTCCAGTATTTAATTTCACCATCACCATCGATTGTATCGTTATTATTATTATTATTATTATTATTATTATTATTATTATTATTATTATTATTATTATTATTAGTGAAAGCCGCCGTGGTGTAGCGACTAGACGCTCGCGAAAGGTCGTGGGTTCGCTTCCTGGCGGAGCCGGACTTTTTTCAAAAATGAAATTGATTCCCAGGTCGACCCGACCTTGAGTGGGTACCAGGTGCAGTCCCGGAAAGGAAAGGCGGCCGGCGTGATGCTGACCACATCACCCATCTTGTGCCGATTGGTCTATAAAATATAGGTCTAGCCCTATATGCCCTATACGCCTAAAGGCTTGGAAAAGGGACATTTACTTTACTTATTATTATTATTATTATCATTATTATTATTATTATTATTATTATTACACGTTAGTTTCACCCCGCAGATTTCTGTCCCTGTGATGTACTGACAATCGATGTTTCATTTCACGCAGACACAGACAAACAGCGTCAACATGTCAACCATAAAGCTGTATCGCAAGCTGGCCATGCTCAGAAAGGCCCCTGTTTTCCAAACAGGCAATTTAAAGGTAAATATTTCTCCAATAAAACAATATCACAATTATGCAGTAGCGGGTCGTCAGCAAAACGTCGCTCGTATCACATCACGCTGTAAATCCACTCAGCCCTGTATAGGTTTTTCCACCCTGTGACATGTCATGCCCCGTTTTGTCTTGGTATGCTGTATCCACATTTGAGCTGGTCCACCACTGCCTCTGTTCCCGGGAATTACGCTGTATCCACATTTGTGCTAGTCCACCCCTGTCTCTGTTCCCCATAAATATGCTGTATCCACATTTGTGCTAGTCCACCCCTGTCTCTGTTCCTGGGAATTAGGCTGTATCCACATTTGTACTGGTCCACCCCTGTCTCTGTTCCCAGGAATTAGGCTGTATCCGCATTTGTGCTAGTCCACCCCTGTCTCTGTTCCCGGGAATTATGCTAAATCCACATTTGTACTGGTCCACCCCTGTCTATGTTCCCGGGAATTAGGCTGTATCCACATTTGTACTGGTCCACCCCTGTCTCTGTTCCCGGGAATTAGGCTGTATCCACATTTGTACTGGTCCACCCCTGTCTCTGTTCCCCGGAATTATGCTGTATCCACATTTGTGCTAGTCCACCCCTGTCTCTGTTCCCCATAATTATGCTGTATCCACATTTGTGCTAGTCCACCCCTGTCTCTGTTCCTGGGAATTAGGCTGTATCCACATTTGTACTGGTCCACCCCTGTCTCTGTTCCCAGGAATTAGGCTTTATCCACATTTGTGCTAGTCCACCCCTGTCTCTGTTCCCGGGAATTATGCTAAATCCACATTTGTACTGGTCCACCCCTGTCTATGTTCCCGGGAATTAGGCTGTATCCACATTTGTACTGGTCCACCCCTGTCTCTGTTCCCGGGAATTAGGCTGTATCCACATTTGTACTGGTCCACCCCTGTCTCTGTTCCCAGGAATTATGCTATATCCACATTTGTACTGGTCCACCCCTGTCTCTGTTCCTGGGAATTATGCTGTATCCACATTTGTACTGCTCCACCCCTGTCTCTGTTCCCGGGAATTAATCTGTATCCACATTTGTACTGGTCCACCCCTGTCTCTGTTCCCGGGAACTATGCTGTATCCACATTTGTACTGGTCCACCCCTGTATCTGTTCCCGGGAATTATGCTATATCCACATTTGTACTGGTCCACCCCTGTCTCTGTTCCCGGGAACTATGCTGTATCCCCATTTGCGCTGTTCACCCCTGCCTCTGTTCCCGGGAACTATGCTGTATCCAGATATGTGCTAGTCCACCCCTGTCTCTGTTCCCCGGAATTATGCTGTATCCACATTTGTGCTGGTCCACCCCTGTCTCTGTTCCCCGGAATTATGCTGTATCCACATTTGTGCTAGTCCACCCCTGTCTCTGTTCCCAGGAACTATGCTGTATCCACATTTGTACTGGTCCACCCCTGTCTCTGTTCCCAGGAATTATACTGTATCCACATTTGTACTGGTCCACCCCTGTCTCTGTTCCCCGAAATTATGCTGTAACCACATTTGTGCTAGTCCACCCCTGTCTCTGTTCCCGGGAATTATGCCATCAACTGTTGTTCTCTCGAAACTATTATGTTCAATAAAGCCAAAGTACTTCAGTTTCCAAGAACCCATACTACATGCAAGTCTTCCTTGATGTTCAAATACTGAAGGATACTAACAACAACAAAAGATGGCTCTTTGTCTCTCTTCTTTTTTGTTCTACCTCATCTAATGGTTTTCTTAAGGTCACATACCTCTTTGAAGTCGACGAGGTGCCACCTGTCTTCAACTGATCGATAAAGCTCGGTTTTTATTGAAATAATCCATAAAGCTCGGTTTTTATTGGAATAATTCATAAAGCTCGGGTTTTTTTTTTTTTTTTTTTTTTTTGAAATAAACCATAAAGCTCGGCTTTTATTGGAATAATCCATTAAGCTGGGGTTTTTATTGGAATAATCCCTAAAGCTCGGTTTTTATTGGAAAAATCTATAAAGCTCGGTTTTTTTTGTGTGTGTGTGTGGAATAATCCATAAAGCTCGGGTTTTTTTTTTTTTTTTTGGAATAGCCCTTAAAGCTCGGTTTTTATTGGAATACTCCATAAAGCACGGTTTTTATTGGAATAATCCCTAAAGCTCAGTTTTTATTGAAATAATCCATAAAGCTCGGTTTTTATTAGAATATTCCAGAAAGTTCGGTTTTTTACCTCTATATTAAACGGCCAAACCTAAGATAGCATGTAGCGAGCATGTCTGTAGCGTATTTTCAGTATCCTGGGTGCTGTCCAAATGGGCACAGCTCTAAATCGTCAGTATTAAATCTCCTATACATGCGTCTCCAGAGTCTGTTGTGTCGTGTTAAATACGATGGTCTGTTACTTTCATGTCATGAGGTTGACTGTGTTTTCAGGATTTTGTCCTGGGTTGGAGGTGTTCCAGAGGCTAGTGATTAGTGATAAGTGAGAGCCTGGAGCACTTATGGGTTGCACCCGAGGGCCATGATGTTGATCTGTCATAAGTGAGAACTTGGAGCACTTATGGGTTGTACCAGTGTGCCATGATGTTGATCAGTCATAAGTGAGAACTTGGAGCACTTATGGGTTGTACCAGTGTGTCATGATGTTGATCAGTCATATGTGAGAACTTGGAGCACTTATGGCTTGTACCAGTGTGTCATGATGTTGATCAGTCATAAGTGAGAACTTGGAGCACTTATGGGTTGCACCAGTGTGCCATGATGTTGATCTGTCTTAAGTGAGAACTATCATCATAGCACTCCTGACAGATCCGCAGGTGCCCCCGAGCTCCTTCTGAGAAGCGCCAGAACAACTGATTAGATCCGTTTTATACCGATTAGTTTCACTGCTTGTACTTCTAATGAAATGCTGGTTGTTCGGTGACCGCGAGAGAATCGAGATAGACAAACAACAATTACATTCCTTGAATCATTATTGATAACAGTCAACGTGAGGACTAATAGACTTGACTAGCTGGGGAGAGAAAATAGAAAACTAGATGACGGAGAGGTAAAAACTGATTGCACAAGAGAATTGAATGGTCATAGACCACGAGGCAGACCAAGAAGACCACGAAGATATAATATCCTCCTCCTCTTCATCCACCTCCTCCTACTTCTTCTTCTTCTTCTTCTTCTTCTTCTTCTTCTTCTTCTTCTTCTTCTTCTTCTTCTTCTTCTTCTTCTTCTTCTTCTTCTTCTTCTTCTTCTTCTTCTTCTTCTTCTTCTTCTTCTTCTTCTTCTTCTTCTTCTTCTTCTTCTTCTTCTTCTTCTTCTTCTTCTTCTTCTTCTTCTTCTTCTTCTTCTTCTTCTTCTTCTTTCTTCTTCTTCTTCTTCTTCTTCTTCTTCTTCTTCTTCTTCTTCTTCTTCTTCTTTCTTCTTCTTCTTCTTCTTCTTCTTCTTCTTCTTTTCTTTCTTCTTCTTCTTCTTCTTCTTCTTCTTCTTCTTCTTCTTATTCTTCTTCTTCTTCTTCTTCTTCTTCTTCTTCTTCTTCTTCTTCTTTCTTCTTCTTCTTTCTTCTTCTTCTTCTTCTTCTTTCTTCTTCTTCTTCTTTCTTCTTCTTCTTCTTCTTCTTCTTCTTCTTCTTCTTCTTCTTCTTCTTCTTCTTCTTCTTTCTTCTTCTTCTTCTTCTTCTTCTTCTTCTTTCTTCTTCTTCTTCTTCTTCTTTCTTCTTTCTTCTTCTTCTTTCTTCTTCTTCTTCTTCTTCTTCTTCTTCTTCTTCTCTTCTTCTTCTTCCTCTTCCTCTTCTTCTTCTTCTTCTTCTTCTTCTTCTTCTTCTTCTTCTTCTTCTTCTTCTTCTTCTTCTTCTTCTTCTTCTTCTTCTTCCTCTTCTTCTTCTTCTTCTTCTTCTTCTTCTTCTTCTTCTTCTTCTTCTTCTTCTTCTTCTTTTCTGCAGACCTACACACATATGGAGTCACTAACTGGAAAGATAGGACGGATCACAGAGATGAACAGGGGCAGTTGTTATCTGCAACAAGAACCTCACGAACTCGGAATGCTGAAGACGAATGCAATAACTATAACTCTGATTGTATGCCTCAGATGGTCAGAGGGTTATCGTGTTTTATCGTGCTGAAGACGAATGCAATAACTATAACTCTGATTGTATGCCTCAGATGGTCAGAGGGTTATCGTGTTTCATCGTCACAGTAAACATGTCATCCCATAACAGCTCATTCCCCTCTGCCAAAGAAAACCTCGCCAAATGCTCATCAAGGTCCAAATGACAACACAAAGATGACTGCCATTTCGGCAAACTAGAAGCTAGCACACTCATTAAAATCGATAACTAGCAGTTGTTTGCATGACAAAGATATCTGCTTTTCACTAATATTTAACGGAAATGACCAAAGGTTCTCATATTGTTGACGCAGATTGCCATAGCAGACACCAACATCTTCTCGTTTACACGAGAGAACACCGACGAGATATACCTAGTGGCAATCAACGTTGGCAAACAAATCTCAACAAAAAGTTTCTCTAGTTACGGCAAGCAAGATATGGCCAGCGTTGTCGCCTACACCCCAGGTTTGTGCTTGTTTGTTGTGGTAGTGTTTGTGGTAGTTAAAGTAGTAGAACTACTAGCTGTTGTTGTAGAGTATTACTTGGTGCAGTATTCGGTATTGTTGTTATTAGTAGATTGTGTTGTAGTAGTAGTAGAAGTAATAGTGGTTTGACAGATGGTATAGTAGTACCTGTAGTAGTGGTAATATTAAAAGATTGTGTTGTAGTAGTAGTAGAAGTAATAGTGGTTTGACAGATGGTATAGTAGTACCTGTAGTAGTGGTAATATTAAAAGATTGTGTTGTAGTAGTAGTAGAAGTAATAGTGGTTTGACAGATGGTATAGTAGTACCTGTAGTAGTGGTAATATTAAAAGATTGTGTTGTAGTAGTAGTAGAAGTAATAGTGGTTTGACAGATGGTATAGTAGTACCTGTAGTAGTGGTAATATTAAAAGATTGTGTTGTAGTAGTAGTAGAAGTAATAGTGGTTTGACAGATGGTATAGTAGTACCTGTAGTAGTGGTAATATTAGTAGATTGTGTTGTAGTAGTAGTAGAAGTAATAGTGGTTTGACAGATGGTATAGTAGTACCTGTAGTAGTGGTAATATTAAAAGATTGTGTTGTAGTAGTAGTAGAAGTAATAGTGGTTTGACAGATGGTATAGTAGTACCTATAGTAGTGGTAATATTAAAAGATTGTGTTGTAGTAGTAGTAGAAGTAATAGTGGTTTGACAGATGGTATAGTAGTACCTATAGTAGTGGTAATATTAAAAGATTGTGTTGTAGCAGTAGTAGAAGTAATAGTGGTTTGACAGATGGTATAGTACTACCTGTAGTAGTGGTAGTAGTAGTACACACAATATTAGTAATAGTAGCCGTTGCTGTAGTAGAAATTAACCTCACAGTAGTTGTTGCAAATGTAGTAGTAGCAGTAGCGGTGGTGATAGCAGCAGCAGTAACCGTATCAGCAGTAGTAGTAGTAGCCATTGTTGCTTTTGTTGTATTTATTTAGATGTAAACGCGGCAACAGCAGCAGAAATAGAAGTAGTAATTGTTGTACTAGTAACAGCAGTAGTAGTTGTTGTTGTTTTTGTTGTACTAGCAACAGCAGCAGTAGTAGTAGTTGTTGTT